GCGCATGTCACGCAACTATAGTTTTTATTTAATTCATAGACAAACTAGAGTCGGCCCCAACTATCATATCGTCCGATATCAAGTAACGTGTGAAATTTACAAAATTATTTGCTATTGACATTTCATTTCGAATAAAACTTAATCTAGACTGATATTAGAATTGAGGCTGAATGAAATTGTTTTGTTTTACAGAGATGTTCGAAATTTGAATGTCATAATAAAATCGAATTCGATGTTGCTATGAAGCAATAATAACATTTTCACAGATAAGAAATTTTGTTCTAACAAAACAGTTTTATTAAGTTGGTCGTAATTTGCGGTTATTGAACACATCATAGTATTTATGATATGTGTTTAAATAAAACAACGTTTGCTTAAGGCGAGGTATGTAACGCGAGCCTAGATTTTAGGTGAGGTGTAAGCTGTAAATCAATATAAATAAAATAAGAACACGCGTAGAAAATTTGACACTTCCGAAGTCGACAAGTGCCGGTGGCGACTGACGGGGCAGCTGGCGTCGTAGCGCGTCGTTAAATCGTTGGGTAATTTGCAAATTTTGGAATAAATGTGAATTAGATAACTAATAGGGCTTCAGTTGAAAACCAAAATTTAGCAGGTTCTATGTATGTATCGTCTATTATTTGTAAGACTGTTAATAGTAAAGTCATTATCTAAACCATATGATCTAGAAATACAGTTTTTCCTACTTCTCCTCCAGTGACTCATCCTTAATTAATGTGTCTGTGCGACACGTCAGTTCACACCCATATCTAGCGTCGCGTCGTCGTAGTTATGGGAACGGGCGAGTCGCAGCGACCTTTATTGGTTGTACACTACAGTTAGCCTAATTGGGTAAAATATCAGTCTTGCGACTGTGAATTTGAATTAAAACTATTGTAATATGATACAGTTTATTTTCAGTCACAAATTGCAAAATATCGAACTAAAATAAATAGAACGTAAGTAATTTTCAATGCGTAATCATTGACATACCAATAAAGGTGTATGTCCTTGATTAGTATAATAAAAAATAATGAATCTCAAATGCGGTTTGTACACGTCATGTGGTCTGACTGTTTAATGTAGTCTGTGGCTTAGGAACGATTGGGCGACACATGGAGGATTCCGCTCTGCTTTGTAAAGTCGCCTTGAATGTTTTGTTGTATGAAAAATGTCAAAAAGTAAATTACAGATTTTAGCCCCATTATCTTTTTATTAATGATACGATGCCTGATGGTAAGCGACACGCCCGTCTTTAGCGGCCGTCACCCTGAGACATAAGTTGACAAGTCCCATGTGTTATTTCACCAGCACCCTTAGTTAGGTATATGTATGTGCGTGTGATGCACTTTGGTGGCATGGCTTACTGGGCTGTAATCGCTCACCATATGGTTGGTACTGGCAGAAAACCAGCTTTGTTTGATTTTTTACGGTCTACAGTATTATTGCTGAGTCAGGGCCACTTTAGCACAAACTGTAGGCATACATAAAATTTTGTTAATTCTCACACCATTTGTTCGTTTGTTTCTCTCACAGTATGTTTTATATAAGTGTATATTAAATTAATAATAATGTATGTTCTATGTGATTTTGTGTTATACTTTGTGAAGTGATTGTAAATGTTTTGTTTCTGTTTATATTTGTGCTGAATTAACGTGTTATCTATCTACCCTACCATTCAAGAGTTTCAACTGTTTCACAAGGAGCTCTACTGCTACTTAAATTATTTACCTTAGCAGAGCGAAAGGACGTGTGTTTCTGCAACACAAGTACTTTGCTATTTTGACTAAGCGATATTGTAACTGAACGATATATTATTTGCTGATGAAAGTCCTTTATTCCCAGCAGTTCCATGTACTCAGTTCCACGTGGAATAATATCCTTTATTATGAAAGTTCTAATGTATTCCTCACGAAAGAAAAAAATAATGTTAGTGCCTTAAGTCTCGATTAGGTACCTATTGTCGGAACCGCTGTTACTAAAACGCACACAAACAAATGATAAACACTATGAAATCTCGATAACGATTGGTCAGTTTCTAATTTAAAAAGATTGTAACAAATTCTGGATTGTTAATATAATTTAAACTTAACCCAATCACTATATCGTTGAAAGTTCATTACCTTTATTGCAAGTTATTATATATTATAGCGTTTTGATTTAATATTGAAATTTTATTCAACGTGCTGCCATCTACAGCCAATAGTTGGACTACTACAAAAGATTAATATCTGAATGAATTCGATAAACTGAAAATTGCAATCTATTTATGATTAAAATAACATTTACAGATGATGTGAAATATTAACTACGGGTAATATTTTTGGTGCGGCTATAATTTTTGCACTCCAAAACAGCACAATAAGGTCTTTTTCTGCGATTTTAGGGAATTTGCGCGAAAAAATGACACAACCATACCATACAAAACGAAAATGGCGGACTGAGCTGACGTAGGTCTTTCGAGACCCAATGGTGGCACGCGTCAGACGCTAACTAACCACTTCGACTCATCTGTAGAACAAAGGCCTATGTGTAAGACTGCTTATTCTGAAAACATTGTACATTTCGTACGTTGTTCTTCGCGACTGTTATGCGATCAGACTGACTGTTTTTCGATTTTATACTTCCGAAACGAAATAAGATATAAAAAATTTGAAAACACCTATCGATTGGCCTTATTTTGAATAACGAGATTATGTATTTATTATATTTTCGGATGAGTCGATGTATTGCTCTGTGGTATTCCTCTTACGGAGGTGTGATAGAGCCGAGTGAAAATATTTCTTTCGTTCTTATTCACGTTACTAGCTAATGGCACATTTGTGCGTGTGCTTTGTAAGAGAAAATGGCACTAGACTATATTAAACATTCGACCGTATTTATTATAATCCATTATATTATTATAAACCAGTCTTTGTGATTGAGATTCTTATCAAGATCCAATATTTGTGTAAAATTGTATTTTATTATTATATGGACGGACATTAAGTCTTGATTGTACTTATGTCTAATGATAAGAAAAAAAAGTTAAGGTGCAGTTCCAAACGACAATGACGCCGAGTCAGAGTACCAGTATTATGCGTAAAGGAAAAGCAAGCAACACTGGCGGTTCAGCCACGATCAACGTATTTGTACGTAATACCGGTTATTTTAATTGTAAACAAAGGCGGATTTGGAAGATTTTACGGCGGAAAGAGACTGAGAGATTTTACGAGATATTTGACGACCTCAGTGATCAATTAGGGAAATAAACTACTAGTAGTGCCCCAGAGGGAATTCCGTAACTCCCAAGTTAGTGACCAGACAAATAATTCGTGTGGTTCTCCCGTATGTTATTATTTATTATATTTATAGTTTTGGTGCAAGACAAGACGACTGAACGTGCATTCGTTGCGACTTGATTATACTCCGCGGGGCGCTAGGACTAATTCAAGTGTCATGACATTGAGACTGCATCTCGGTTATGACGCTACTGACGCTTTGTCAATGTTCGGAACTCTACCTTTACAGTGCATATAGGCAATGTAAATAAAGCTGCTATTTCTATCAGGGATATGTCTACACATATATCTTATGGTCTATACTACTTTTGCAAACGCCATGCAAAGTATACACATATTTTTAATATACACGCAAAAAATCTATGTCAACATATCTACAGGATGTGGTGCACATTTTTAAAGTTACTTAACGTGGCCTTACTTTTGAAACGTTGTATGTTCACTTTTTAAATTTTATAGGAGTAAAAAATTTCAGCCAAAATGTTTTATATACCACAAGAAATCTGAGGTTCTGCAATTTATCAGTAGATGACCTGCAATCACTGTAGACATGTGAAGTTTTAACAGGTAATGCACTCATTTGCTTGCATATTATACAACAAAAAAGTGGACTATGTAAAAAAGTAGGCAGGACGTTTTAATAGTAAAGCGACGTTATGCGACGTTATACGTTATAGTACTTATTAAATAAAACACTTATTTAAAATTTCGCAAACGTACAAAGTTGTCAAATCTATTATCAGCGTTTACAGAGAAAAAGATGACTAACTGTCATCTTTTTCTGTCATTTTTTTCACTTACTTTTTCACTTACTTATGTTAAAAATACTTATAAATAAAAGTACTTTAAATAGATAGTATCTTCACAGAAATAGAAGGCACTAAGTCATCTTGGAACTTTTTGTGTAAAACGGGATGTAGAAAGGTTACCTAATCCATTATCAAACAAAAAAACATCTATAGAAGTCACAGGTCCAATTTTATTATTGTACCCAAATGTTTTCAATACGAGACTTCTTAAAAGACGCAATAAAAATCAGCTGTTTCTTATTAAATACGTCATAATTATTCGACTTGTTTAACAACAAATACTTGTTTACACACGAGATATTTGTGTATCTTAAGACTAGTTTGTAGTGACTAAAGCTACAAGTTTCGTTACAGAAACTGCACAACCATGCATTTTAACCTATATCGTCGATGATGATTGATTTTTTTTTCACTTTTTCGTATCCTGTTCCTTGGGAAAAGTTGTTTAATTTAAATCAATAAATTTGTGGCTTAATTGATAAAAAGATGCTTATTCCTAAATGAATAATTGTAACTTTTTTATAAAAAGAAAACCGACCTCAAAAGTTTGTGGAATTACATCTATTTGCCAAGTATTATTGAAATTGTTTACGGGAAAGTGCGCAAGCAGGTTTCCAGGAAAAAAAATACTGTCGAATTGAGAACCTCCTCCTTTTTTTGAAGTCAGTTAAAGTGAGTTACTTAACCATATATTCATTCATAGGTTCTATTTACGATCATTCGTTAATTTTTTTTACGCTTGATAATGGAATATAGTAAACATACTAAAACCCGAATAACTTAACTCTTAGGGTCGTATTCTAGAACTCTAATCAATGCTCAAGTCAGGACTTGAGTATGATTCAAAGCACTCGAAATCATACTCAAGTCCCTTCCATTAGGGTTGTATTTCCAGTGCCTGTGTTTCAATTGCAATCCTGACTTGAGCAATGAGTAGAGTTCTAGAATACGACCCTTAGACTCTACCATTTTGTATAGAGTATCCATATTCGAATTTCACATATTTAATTTTATGCTATAAATGCACAATGTAGTCTACGATCAGCTAACTCTAACTTACGACTTATGATTTTAGATTAAGCTTAGTATTCTACTAAGATCTCAATGTTGGGTGATTGCATCTCAAGAATAATCTGGTACTGGGAGAACACGCAGAGCCAGCAGTAAATCTGGAAAATTTGAAATAATCTATTGTAGATAAAAAACTACTGACAACGAAATGAGACCCACCTTGAGGTATAGCATGGACTAAAAACTCAAGAGAGATGGAGTTGATCGATAACCTGTAGGGCTAGCATGAAAGGGCGCGACTTGCGCGAGAGCGACATAAACCGCGAGATACTACTATTCTTGCATAAAGATTCCATGCTAGTCCTACTGGAAGTAGTTTTTATTGTGTAAATGGCCGTGAAGATCAATTAATTCCTTTTGAATATGAAATATAAGTACTCACTTTTTTTCTTGTAATATTATTCAAATATTGACCAAGACCTAAAATTACTTTCTGAATTTTGACAAATATGAGTGTCTATATGGTATTGTGTAATTAACGCTTGCTAATATAGGTAGATGGATGGTGCTAATCCTAAACAAAATAAAAGCATAGTCGCAGTATCCATAAAAATCAGTGCAATAAGCGCCATCTAGTTGACTTGTTTTGTTATCACTAGATTAAAGTAGCTTTAGATAAATTGCAGCTCGTCAACGTAAAACAAATCAGTTACAAAAATAACTATTTGATCCTCAACGTGACATCTGGTGCACCAATAGATATTAAACACCCGACTACGCTGTCCCGTTTCGCGATTAGCAGTCCTCCTCCATGGTTGTAGTAGTGTGTGTACCATGTAGTGTAATCATTGGCAAGTTGCAAGGATACTGGATACCAGATGTCCTACTTAAAATAGTTTTTATAAAAAGAGCTTAATAATTTCAGTATGTCATAAAATAAATTGCTGAGATTGGTGGGCTAGATCAAGTTGTAATACTGCACTACTGAAAATACTGTAACCCCGAACTCGTTAGTTATTACTAGCGACTCTATTGAGTTGTCACGGTATCAAAATATTCACGTAAAGATCTTGTAATCATTTCCTGTAATAATATAGGATTATTCCTAACGATGATTGAAATGAATAATTGTAGTATCTAATTAAGAAAGCCTTTTTTGTATGATCACAAATGAAGGGGCGAACAAGTCGTGCGCCTGGTGTTAAGCGACACGCCTAAGCTGTCCATATCACATGAAACTTTTAGAAATTATAGAGAAATGTTTCTTATTGTTCAACGATGTCTATGTATTAGCGTTTATTATTTATGTTGGGGACCAGCTGTGACGCAGTCTCCTTCGTTTTTCTACTTCATTTTGACAGTTGCTTTCGCTGCGCTGCCTTGTTCGGTTTTGAGTTCAATGTGTTTTAATCTGCACATATGGTGTTTCCATCTTAGTGCCCTAACTTATACAGTCCACTCGCCAACAATTACAGTATTATATCTGTGTTATTACTTAGAATTCTCCCTTTTCATCTTGATATCTCAGGGTTACAAACCTGTAACTATAGGTTGTTTACTTGTTCGGTATCTGAAACTGGATAAATACTTAAAAATGTAATAGGGCGCTAGTTTTTGGATGTGAAAGTCATATTTGTTAAGTTGAACCCTTAGAGCGAGTACATACGACGACTTTTAGCATCGATACAAACACGCCGATATTGTTGCTTATGTTGAATAATTAAAAACGGGCATCGCGTCTGCATCGCTGCTTTAGTCGCGCATGTGTGTATAGGTAGACGATTAGCGACTGAATCACTGCAGACGCGCTCCTAAAAGTCGTTGTGTGTGACCGCTCTTACTAAAAAACCATGTCGTAAAAGACTCAGTGACAAACAACCACTTATTTATTTTTTACCAACTCCCATGAAATGAATGCGGGGTGCAGGGTTACAGAAATGAACGTTGTTCAGAGAACTCAAAGAACCAAAGGCGGTTATTTGTGTGTGTGCATTTAGTCAGTAAGACGTGTCCGAAAGACATACGGCGTCTAAAACGATTATGTTTATGTTAAAAAAAATTAATAAAAAAAAGAAAAATGTTCGTTGAAAACACAACTGCACGTTAGTGACATCGTGTGGCTCTAATACGCTACAGTACCAAAATTGTTAAGGACACCGCGTATCTGTAGAACGCCGGACGGGTTAATACTTACATTGTATGCCATCCAAACGAAATCAATAAACGCTGCGAAGGTGGCGTCCAACTGAAATAATAAAAAAGGAGCTGGTTACTCACTAATGCTGAATTGGTACTAATACCAAATCTCGCAATGCTATGCAACTATAGTATAACATAATCAGGTATGCTTAGTTTGAAGATATATTTAGCATATAATGTGCAACATACATATGGAATTAATTTTAACACATTATAAATTTAACATATTAAAATACACATTGGAGAAGGCGATAACAGTAATTTTATTACACTGTGTATTCACTTGAGCCTGGTGTAGTTCCCAGGTCATGGAACCAGTCTATAGAAGGGAATGGCGAAGCCATTGCAGTTTAGTAATTTCTAAGTTCTTTGTCAGGGTCTGGTTCCCTCTTATGGGCTTCCCACTGACCTTTGCAATTGGATTTCGGATTTCTTGAGTGAACATTCGATTCGAGTGGTCTTAGAAGGCTACTCTTCCGAACATCGGGCGATAGATGCCGTAGTTCTTCAGGGTCCTGTACTGTTCGCAATCCAATTTCTGCTGCATATAAATGATATGTTGATTCCAGGTACCTTTGGGTATGCTGATGACAGCACAGTTGCAAACAGGTACTTGACCAATGCAAGGGTCAGTAGAAAAGAAATCCAGTCTTGTCGAGAGAGACCATGGTTAGTCGATGCCAATCTTATCCAATTTGGTGCTACCAAAACGCAGCGTGTCTTTTCTCCACTAAACAGAGTCCCTTTCACCTGACTCCGACTTTTCGTGATGTATCCATACTGATAGCCGACCGTCTTCACCTACTTGGAATGGACCTGTCATCCAATCTGAACTTCGGCAGATACATTGAATCCATGGCCAAAAATGTAGCCAAGAAGTTTAGCATGCTTTCCAAGGTGAGGCACCAGACTTCACACCGGGACAGTTGCTTCAGCTGTATAAAACACAAGTCCGGTCGTGTGTACTGCTGCCATTTATGGGATTGCTCTGGTAAATACCAACTGGCCTTTGGATTCAATAGATAAGCGTAGAGGCGAAGCTGCAGAGCCTTGAACACCGCCGTAGAGTTGCCGGCTTATGGTATTCTATAGGATATATCACGGAGAGTGTGCAATGGAATTGCATAATTTGGTTCTGCCTTCCCCATCATCGGTTGACTAGATGTGGGCTGGGGTTCTACCCCTATGTTGTGGATATTCTCCGGATTATTTCTTCGCACAAAGCGTTTCGCTTCCACCATTTGTATGGTGAGCGGCTAGGGAGTGGAATTCCCAGCCTGCAGACTTATTTCCTGAATGCTATTACTTGGACCTTTTGAAGGCGAGTGTGAATGGGCATTATTTAGGTGCGCATGCTACATCCTCGACCTTATTGTCACTTTCCATCAGGTGAGATGGAGGTTAAATGCGCATTTATTTTATATACAATAAAAAAAATCCGGTTATGAACGCTTAAGTGCTGGTGAAGCTACTAATATATAGGACTTGTCAATTTCATGTATCAGGATGATGGGTGCAGTGCCAGTGCCTCTTAGGCCAGTTCCCCTTAGGTCTTGCTAATTTAAAGCTATCTATATATAATATAGACAGGATAGGCTTGTCATGTAGAATGTCATTGCGTAACTGTAAAAGCTTGGAGTTTGGAAAATGGTACTACAAGACATAGCTGTTTCTGTTATAAACTAAGTGAACATGACTTGGAACTTTGTCACTGGTATGGGAAGTTATTATATACATACGTCCTGCAAAATCAGACCTTCAAAACAAAATTGGCAGCTTTGTAAAAAGTAGTAGTATAAGTTGTCTTATTAAATTATTTTTATCTTAAAAGTGGCTCCAACTGAAAACCAGCACTACAGCACTCAAGCAGTGACATAATATGCTGAGTTGGATCTGTTTCAGCTTACAATTTGAATAATTAATTCCTTCTGTATAAGTCGTAATAAGCGAATAAATGTTTCTTTCTATCTTTCTAATTGATGACAATTTATGTATGTTTTAATGAGTATCAATAATAATATGTAATGATAATCAGTTCGCAAAGAATATTGAAGCTAAAGCATTTGCATTTGTGTATATAACGAGTGACGAATAAAAAGTAACAATAAAATTATACTTGTAGACATCAAATTCGCAAAGCAATGACGGTAATATAACATGTTATGAATTTGAAAAATAAGTGTTTGTTTTTATTATTGTAATAATTTACAAAACATTCAAGATTACAGAGTTAAAATCATATAATTAAAAGTAAATAGAAAATATACACAACCTTAAACAGCAACAATAGCATATAGATAATGGTCTTGAAATAGAGACATGTCATTGAATCACATGTTAGTGTACAAAATTGCTAAATATGAAGGGAATGACCGTTAATATTATCTATATTTCGAAGAAAGCTATCAAAATTCTTTGAATATTTAGATCTAAGAGGTCTCCACCAACTCGCAATTGATTAGGGGTAACATGTAATTTTGTTCATGCCAACATATTGATATATCATGGTGATACTGGTGTTCTGTAGAGTGAGCACATTTTGTGCATAGTGTACACACTCTGATCTTTCTTGATTTTATTTTAATCATTTAGACTTTGGTTCTGTAAATACTTGTACTGTAAGTTTTCAAGTGTTTTCATTAAATAAATCATGAAATAAGTACAACATTGCTCATGGTAGTAAGTAGTTTTGATGCATCAAACAAAATATTTATATTTATCAGTAGCAAAATATAGACTTACATAAATATAATATCCTCCAATGAGCCACAGTCCGAAAATGAGCTGGAACGCAATAATGAAACCCATTGTGATGAGCCATGGAAGCATGAATCCTCGCATCCATATGTTGATACCGATGATCTGAAATTTCAATGAGTGTGTAATAACAGACTATAATACAAAAGAATTGTACTTCACAAATAAATAGCTGTAACTAGAATTATCTTACAAAGTCATTAAATGCTTTTTACATACACCCAACTATTGATAAGTTAGGTACAGGGGTTTTAAGAACTGATCAATGTCCTTGTTATGAATAACTTTTCTGTTGAACACATATGGATTATATTCTGTGAATAAAATTTGTGTATGCCGTGACTGGATTTTGTTATTAATTAGAAAGTATGGTAATGTCATCTAAGCCACATATTTAGATTTTTTTCAGGTGCTGTATTAGAAATTTTAAGGAGAAAATCAGTGTTTCTGCTTCTTTTACTGTTGTGACATGAACGCTATCCTGAATTTGTGCAGCACACTTCAGAGCATAAAGCAAAATGTAGAATATATAACGTACCATTAAAACGGAGAATATGATAAGTAGAATCAGTATAACTATGAAGATTGTCCCAAACACTTGTAATGCTGCAACAAAATTTCATGAATTAATTGCAAAATTGTCTTCAACATCATAATGATTGGGTTGTGCAAAATAGGTGATACGGGTACTAGTAATCAATACAACAGACACCAAATGTAAACATTCACAATAAGCAAGGTGTATATAACAAATTTCTAAAAATAACTGGTTCAGCACGTAACTAACACCATTGTTAGCCGTATTCATTAGCACTACAGTTTTTGTGGTGGTATCAAGTGACAGGCACAAATAAGTTGAGTGCCTGGTGGTAAGTGACACACCTGACCATAGCAGTTGCAGTGCCACTTAGAGCTTTAAATTGCAAAGATAAGAAGAGGCAGTCCACTGCACTCATCACCCTGAAAAGTAAGTTGAAAAGTCCCATGTGCCTGTAATTGTACCATTACCTTTACCCTTCACAACCAGAACACAGTAATGCTCACATTACTGCTAGGCGGCAGAAGTAGAAATAGGTAAGGTGGCAGAACTCCCATGTTGAAGTTGTTTACAAGGAGCTTTACTACTACTACTTGAAGCCTTTCTGCTATTAAATAAGTGTATAATAAAAATAAAATGGATTCTTAACACACATCCTCTGACATCGGCTTCGAATAGGGGATTCCATAGCTGTGTGGAGTCGCCGCCATCCATTTGATATGCAATGAATGTAATGAGGATGATGCTTATCGCCACGCTGTACACTGCGACCGCGCGGCTGCCCGATTTCACGTCCGAAGACCAGATACATGGTGACCAACACGATTCCAGAATCGGCATGTTTACTGTTCTCTCTCCTCTTTCTCTCCAACAAATAACCCAACACCTGAAACGTAGAACGATCACTCCGAGTAATACAAAAACGTCATTAGTCAAGTAATTATAACAAATTTACAAAACAAAAGTCAAATGAATCTCGCTTTAGCCACACCCAAGGATTAACATGTTTACAGTTCTATAAAAACTATTTTTTTGAATGACACACTCCATAAATGTAAAAGAGAAACAATGAAAACATTTCGGTACATTTTCTTCAAATAATTAAGTACATTTTATTTTACAATTATTAGCTTACAATTAAATACTAACTTGAAGGATAATACGTGCACAGCCTTAGACAACAATTTGGTCGGCTGCGAATTAACGTAGTTAGCGGTAGAAACAAATGACAGGTGGTTGGCATGACAAACGACGCGGTTAGTGATGTATGGCGAAGCAAGCGTATCGATAAACCAGAAAGTATACCACAGAGCGTACAACAGACTACATCGATATGTTGGAACTGCGTCAATCAAATAAGTCCTTTAACTAATTTGGATCTTTTAAAAAATTATAAAAATGCATATTAAGATAACACAAGCTTTAGTAATTAAATTTTAGGTTGATGGTCTTCAGTCTGGAGAGCTCTATATAAAAATACCCTTGGCTAGCAGATGTTACAAAAGCGATTTATATTACATATAATTATGTCATACATAAATCTATAAGTAAAAATAAAATAACTTCTTTACCAGATTCCAAAAACTTATTAGGGATCACTCCGTTTTTGGATTACCAACACTATTTCGAACACTAGTTCGAGCTTGTCGGGGTTTCACTTCTGTGTTGATCGCTTGCGATCACCATAAAAAAGCTATTTTCCATTACAGTACACAAAAAATAAAAGTAGGCGCTTTGTAGTCGAGTCGCGGACACCAGCCCGTTGCATCAAGTTCCAAGTACTGTATCAATGTGATACCCATTATTGTAGCGTTTTTATTTTATTGATTTGATATAAGTGAATCGAGTTATATCGAACCACGTGGCTAATTTTTCATACTTTGCGATGGACCGACTTTGCAACAGCAATACCTTGTAATTAGGCATTGTTTTTCTTCAGCATAGTCGTGAATTCGGTAATTATGTCCACATCATGTTCCAAAATTATTGATATCTAAGAAAACAATGCAATAATGCCAAAATGTTTAACTAGAAGTCGTAAGATTTTGTTCGAAAAGAGTTTTAGAGTAGAACTTTCACTAAAATAAACGATTCAATTGGATTCCAGAACTTTAGCCCGGTAACTTGTTACTATAAACTCGGTACTTTGAAATTGTAATCTTTTATAAATCAATATTAACATAAAGTTTTTAAATTCCATCACTAGTGCGTTGCGCCACTCCTATTCACACAGAAAATAATATTAGCTGAAACGCGTTAAGGTGAATAAAACTTTGTAAAATAATTATTTAGCACAAAATAAAATGATAGTCTTAATTTTACATTATTTCAAGTGGTAAACACTAGTTTTAGGTATATTTTCTTTTTTATGTGGTACATACATAACCTTCACTGGGTCAATAATCTGTACTGGTACAGCAAGATTTCTATGGCATAGTTGTCGCCATGTGTGATAGACGCGCGAAATTTGAAAATATACTTGCCTTTAAATAAACTTACATCATATAAATATGGGCTTCGTAATATTTATTATTTGCGGTCTATAGAATATTTCAAAATGGTTTAGTTTGTTCGGATTTAATTGTTGTAGGCGTAACCAGTTAGCATGTTGGTACAGGCAACGCAAATTAATTCTTAACGGTCAAAATAATGACACATTGAAAGTGATAAGTTTTATTATACAGTGCTTAAAATATCTGCACATGTTCACAAATATTAAAATTTCAAAAAATTTATTATATGTAAAGGTACACTAAACGTTAAATAGAAAACAATTGAAAATAATGCAGGTATTTTGTGTACGATAAACGTTTTGAATTGATTTCTTTGAATGTGTCCTTTTTGTTTATTTTGGCCAAGCAGTAGCTAACTGTACAAAATACTGAGTAGGTACCCAAAACTTCGGTGTTTTTCTTAAATTTGACATACGTTTTTAATAGGATCCATTAAAAATTTGCATACTCATTTGTAATTTGTGTTACTTATAATTTATAAGTAACTAAATATATTGCCTGGCATTGGAGATCATAATGTTTTGTTTAATAAATGAACGTCAATTAAGTAGATAATACTAAAAAAATTCTCTCATAGGGTACATTCTCGTGGGTAATTAATGGGTTCACTATAATCAAAGTCGAGGCATATCTGCTTTTAATAAATTTGCATTCAATGGATACGGTCGTGACTGGCTATCAATGAGCAGTTAGAAAGTTAATAAGGATGCTTACATATAACTGGCGGTTCAAATCCCACTACGTGATAATAATATTATGATGCCTTGTTTTGAATTTGGATCGCTTTTCCTTTTGCGAGTAATTTGCACGCGTGTAAGACGTCATATGTACAAAAGGATCTCTTTCGCTATTATAGTTACCGAGCGCGTTGAAAAAATTAATGGAAATATTATCTACATTTGGCCTTTGTTTAGCAATGAACTAATTATATTTTTTCATATGATTATTATTTTTCATATCCCTCATGTACTTTTTTTGTTGCCATTCTAAAAAAATACTTTGATTTACTACCATAAAACATATTTACAATCATAATTTACACTTACAGCTACACTTATATTCATTTCACATTCACTTTGTTATATTTGTTATTTCAATGAACAATTTCACTCGTAGTCATTTGTTATATTATTGCTTACAAATAATTCCTACATTAAGTTCCTCTCGTTGATTCGGACTGAAAACCTGCGCCGCCGTAGGGAACTTAAGCTTATGTTTAGTTAGCGGCTTTTCACTACTACCTATGAAAATAGTGTTTATTTTTCCTTTTGAATTTTATCTGTAGATATTTGCGTCATATTAGTCAACAAAATAGTTTATCTATCTTTCTATTTATTTATGTAAGCCCGGTTGAGTAGCGAAATGCAAGTAGAAGCTATAATAATGTAGGTACAAGTTTAGCAAAAGTAATCTATGAAGATTCATTAAGAAAGCAAATCCGAATATTTTCCGTCACTTCTTACGCAAACGTCTTCAAAGGCGTTCTATTTTAAAAACGTAAATAAAAGTTTCAAAGTTTACATATGGCTTTAACCCAGTATCAAACAGACCCAAATCTCTTTGGAGTTAAGAGGCAGTTTATGGGTCTTTCTAATATTATATAATAAGAAAATGACGTTGAAGTGATATACATAATTTTATTCAGTAAGAGCGATTACTCATGGCGATTTTTAGCCGCGTGTTTCCATCGATTCAGTTGCCATACAGTAGCGATGCAATCGCCAATCCTTGTAGTGTGAAACTATGGACCCCTTATCATTTCCATCTTCTCTCATTATACGATTCCTAGGAAACGCCCTTAGATTGTAGGGCTAGGAAGCTTTGGAGAGGTAAAGAACTACGAAATTAAAGGAGTGCACTATCCCAAAATAAAATATACTTTTATCTAAAAAATAATAATTTGGAAGTGTTAGAGTGAAGTAGAGCAGGGTGATGTAGCATGTAGGTGAAGATGGAATATAGGAGAAGATGGAGACGCGGAGTTAGAGGCCTCTGCTCTCGAGTAATGAAGATCGAGGATAGATGTGCAGGACTGGAGAGCAGCGAGTTTTGGGGCCAGACAGTGGATGTAGAGCAGAAACGAAGGGCAGCGAAGTTCATGAGGCAGCGATGGCACTGCAGCAGTAGTTGTATAATCACGAACTAAACTCAGATCGTGAGTGTCAGCCTGCAAAAGCTCTAATTGCGAGTTTCACGCATGTAGTCGCATCACGTATCACTCCACTAGATTTCCCCGCATCCACTCACACAGGTAAAAATAATTGCACTACTTGGAGGGGTTCCAAGATGAAGACCAGGCTTAGTGAGAGGAGTTTGAGCAGCTTGATATCATGGGAGGCGTGCAGATGCCGCGGAGTCGGTATAGGGATCTGAAATGTTGAGACTTAGTCTTCAAAAACTCGTCACGCCCTTAAAGCTCTAACATAAGATAGCGAATGGCTCGACAAATGTTCAACGCCATCAGATTCGAATATGGAATTTCCAATTTCAATGGAGGCGCTAAAATGTAAACGGCCAGGTGCGAAAGCGTTCCTTCTGCCAAGATCGTGTATCACAAGAGAGTAAATTCCAGGATATTCTGTAGAAAAATAGATTATAGATGAACAGATAATCAATATGAACAATATAAAATATTAAAAACAAATAATATGGTTCCTTTCAATGATAATGGCGACGATCGCCATAATTTTTAGAATATTTTACTAAAACTACCTGGACATTGGCAGAATTGACCTCAGTGGGACAGAAACCATAATCTAAAAAAATAAGGTAATATGTTTAGAAAGTGAAATTAATAACATAATGCGTAATTAGCGCTAGGAAAAGCGAAAAGCAAAGTTCGGATAAAGTATCAGTGCGATAGAATATGCCAAGGTCTGGAAATCGGACGTCTGGATAAGTTAGTAAT